GCAGACCCTGCCTGCCACAGTGTGGGGAGCATCCAGGGCTCCCAGGGCACAGACCCAAGCAGCACCAACCCCGTCCCAGGGCTGCAAGGATCACAGCATGGGTGGTCAGCAGCACTGGGAAGGGACACTTAATAGTCACTACATACCAAAAACCCTCAAATGGCCATGAGGTCGGGTTAGTGACCCATTGCACAGTTTCAGAGCTTTAAGCATTGGACAAGCTTTGTTCCCACTATGTGTTTGGCAGGATAAAGGCAGGGCACAGGAGGGGACGGGCAGGATGCAGCTCTTGGGCTTTACACTGCTGCTGCAGAGATATTTGAGGGTGTGCTGGTGCCAGGGAGAGACCCAACCCAGACACCTCCGGACCCCTCAGATGTGCTAAACTGGGTCTGCTCTGCTCAGTCTCCATTCTGTCTCCCCCCATGCCATAAGTAGGACTGTGGTCTGTGCTGTGACCAACCTAGGGATCATTTGGTGTCTGTGTGTGCCTGGGCTCCCCCAGCACCCACCATCTGGGAATGCCACCTCTCCCTGCTCCTCGCAATAAACCACAGCCGGTGATTTCCCATCGCGTGGATGCACCAGGGGAAAGCAGTGTGTGTTTATTTTGACAGTGGAGAGGCTAGTTCTCCGAGCTTTTTGGATAGAGCATCTTGTCCAAGTTGAAAACATTGTCCGTTTATTGAGTCTCACAGTGGCTGAGTAAATAGAGGACTGGCTTTGATGGATGCTGAGTGGATGCTGAGGGCCTGATCCTGCCCCATGCACAGAAATCTTTGATTTATGGAGACGTAGCATCCCTCTGTGAAAAAGCAATTTCAGTGGGTCCTGTGCCCCATGGGCTGGGATGTGAATGACAGAGGATTAAATGGGGAGGATGAGGTTCTGATGGCAGCTGAGACATCAGACTGGAAGGAGATGCAGCAATGCTGAGCCTGAATCACAGCAGCATCTCTGAGTGAGATGTTCTCTCTGTGCCACTGGCAAACCTCCTGGCACAACACCACAGCGAAGCCTCAGAGCCAACACAGTGCATGTGCAGGTCATGGACTGTGGCAGGGTCTCCCATCCCCAGGGCACTGGTGGGTACTGCTCTTCCCTTCTGCCTTATCCTCTCCATCATCGTGGAGGTGGGAAAAGCCCAGCAGGAGGGAGCTGACGGGTTTCTCCAGATGGTGCCCCGCTGACCCCAGCCGTTCCCCGTCTTCAGCTCTTCCTTAGGAAAACACAGCACGGGCCAGCCCATCGATTAATGGTTTCCTCATGTTCCCCCTGTGCAGCTGACATGGAAAGCTGTCTCCCCAATCTCCAGGGTCTGCTGAACTGATCCCCCACCTCCCCATGCCCCTGCACCCTGCACGGGTGCTGGGTATCTCATGCAGATGGGGAACATGTGTTTAACCAGTGAATTGTGCCCTCATAAAGATGAACAGGGAGATAGATAGGTTGGATGAAGGAATAAATGAACAAACTAATGAATGACATGGTGATTAACTCTGATGTAATAAGTGCCCCCAAGGCTTGTAAAAATACACTTGGCATTTTGAAGAACAGCACATTACTCACTGCTTTGCAAGGGCAAGAGGGGCTGGAGCAGCTAAACCCCACAAAAACTTGTTTGACATAGTCATGAGTGGGAAAAACACATTGTGCCCTGGTCTTGCAGCCCCTCTGGCAGGAGACTGGGTGGGTTGAAAAGCTGTGGTTGGGCTTGGGAGAGCTGGGAAATGCAGAGGCTGAGCTTTGTTTAGGAAGCAAAATTTGGCATGTTAACGACGCTTGTGAGGGTTGTAAAGTGCCGAGTAAAACACTGTGCTTGGGTAACGAGTGGTGGACAGAGTGCTGAGGTACCAAGGGCACTGCAGAGCTGGGATGGAGGATGTGGCACTGAGCAGGGTGGTTGGACAGGTCATCACACCTGAGGGGTGGCAGCAGGCCATTGTTCCCTAGTACACCATGTCCACGGGGGGCAAAATGTGACTTTCATGTTATCAACCACAGAAGCATGGAGAGGATGGGCTGGCAGGACCACATCACTTCTCTCTGACAGCTGGAGTGACTACTAGCAGCTCTGTGAATCTGCATTGTAGAATGAAGTTGCTCTGTGTATCAGAGAGCATAAGGGGAACAAGGAGAGCAAGGAGACCAGGTCAGATCATGAAAAGGAGCTACAGAAGTAAGTCTTGTTTCTCTAAATAGGTCTTGCCCCTACTGAGAGGCTCATCTCCTCACCAGGTGGCATGTTCCCACAGCTCAGCACTGAGTTGTGCCCTGTTGGCCACAGAAAATGCTCTTTGCTCAACTGCACTGCACCTAAGGGAGGTGTTTTGCTGTGGGATTCACTCAATTTTTATTTATCTGGACTTTGGTTACCAAGAGCAAAACAATGGAAAATAATCTACATATGCATCACTGTCTGTCCACTAAGGTTGGAGTTCAGCTGTCCATGCTCCTGTGGTCTCTCCTGAGTGGAGCTGGCTGTATGACAGAAAAAAAAAAGCATCAAGTTTTCTGTAGTATTCTCACATTTTTGCATCTTTCCTTGGCCAAATTCCGGGTTTCCATGAAAAATGTCCACTGGCGTTTTGAAATGAGAAAAATTTCAACCAGCTGCAAAATTCAGTCCCAGAGCAGGAGGGAACTCACAAACTTGGCCTCTCTTTCAGCTGTCTTTGAGTCTCAAACATTTTGCCCCAGCTGAATACTGGGAAAAGGCCTGTTAAAGACAAAAAAACACCGATGGAAATGTGCGTGGTTGTTTTGGCCCTTCCCATGCGGGGAAGAGGCATCCGCCGCCCGGAGCAGCCGGTCCCAGCGCAGTGCTGCTCGGCACACTGAGCTCAGCCAGCTGCTGCTCAGGGTGGGGGAGAGCTGCTCTCGAGGAAACAGCAGTGCATCAGAGCGTGCCAGAGCCTTTTCAGATCCTTTGCTGCATTAATATTTTTTTCCTTGAAGAGCTATTTTGGAAGACATATGCCTTTGTAGTGGCAAGGCGAGTTTGTGCTGCAGCATCTCTTTCTTGCCCTTGCTAAGCCCACAGCTGCTGGCTGCGGCCAGCAGGACTGTGTGACATCCCCTGCTGTCACACAAGTCCCCCTGTCCTGCCATCACCCATGGGTTCTGGCAGCACCCAGCAGTGTCAAGCACTCCCCACCACCAAAGTAGTGGTCAGGTCTGGATAGCTGTGGGTCAATATGTGACTGCCCCTGGAATTGCAGCCCTCCCCTAAACTGTGCCTGGGTTGGTGTCTGTGCTAAACCTGCCCTGAGCTGCAGGACAGGATGAACTGCATCTCTAAGCAACCCTGTGGTGCCACTACCACTGCACTCAGCACCCCAACACCAGCTCATGATGAGCCAGCTACAGTGTCCCAGGGACAGCCAAACCCCTGTGCAGTCCCTCAGAAGAGAGAGGAATAACAAAGGTGAATTATTGCTCTGAGCATCAAGGTTACACAAGCAGGGGAAGCCATGAGAAGTCATCAGCCTCAGTGACAATGCAGAATGGCATCCTCCAGCCCTTTGGCCAAGGTTTTAGGACACTCCCAAGCCTGTGCACAGTGCTGCTGGAGCCCAGAAGCATCGACCACCCATGGGACGGAGAGTCCATGCAAACTTCCACGGGCTCCAAAGGACAAAGCTTCATCCTAAAGGACTGGAAGACTGTGATGTAGGCTACAACAATTCACTGAGCCATTCAATAATTAAGGCAAAGTCTGAAGGGACAGGTATATCAGCTGTCAGAGCACCTATTATTTCTACTCACATTTATTAAGCCAAGACTGCTACAATCTCAACATGGGAAGATACTGACGTCTGTTTAACCGGAGACTAATACACAGTGAAGAAGATATAAGACTAGAGGTGGATCAATTAAAGCTCTTCTCTCTTCCTGCCACCTCTGCCTTGTGCATCTCCTTGGACAGCCTTGGCCACAGCAATACTTCCCAGGAGAGCACACAGTCCGGCCAGCTCTGAAGTATGCACACCAAGGCAGATGGTCACTTGGTGTCATCTCAACAGAAACAGGAGAAATTCTGTCAGTTGGTACCAGCTGAGAATATAGGGACTGGGTAGATGGACAACGATACACGATGGCTCCAGTCAGCCTGTCCACTCCAGCCCAGGGTCAGGTGGAGCAGGTGGACATGGGAGGGGAAAATCAGTGTCTCCAGGTCTTTCCCACTGGGTCGTCTGGACTATGCACCAGGATGGGTAACACCCAAGGGTTCTGAAGTCTATCCCTTTCTCCCTGGTGGACACAGCTCTGCCTGGTAGTGACCACTGACCCACTGCCAGGGCCTGACTCCTCCCTACAGCACTGCAGTGCCACGTGGGTCCTGCCCCAGCCAGAAGCACTGGTCTGTGTGAACCCAAGGTCACCAGGGAATCAGGCCTTGCAAAAGTCCATTTGTTCTTCCTGGTGGAGCTCCTGGGGCTGATCCCTCTGCAATGCTGGACAGTTGCCACTTAGCCTGCCCATGCACACACTGGGATAAAGGACAGAAGACTCTGACCTCCTGGGCAAGGAGAGAGGTCTGACAGCAGCACATTTTCAGAGTGAGGAAGAGTCATACCCTGGATGCTGGAGAAGGGAGAGCTGTCAACTCAGATATCAACACCAGGCAGAAGACAACTGTGTTAAAGGGAATATAAAAGCCTAGAAAATGAGTGCTATGAACAGCATGCCTGGAGCAGGACACCAATCCCCTTCAAGCTCCTTCAGGCAACAGGCACCCACAGGAACTCGCTCCACTTTGCTCCTCATTAAAGGTTTGTCATTACTGCATTATTTTTAATACACACTTAGAGAAAATGACCCACACGCACACCCACGCGTGCACATGCACACACAAAGGGAAACCATTGCCAAAATATACACTATAGACAGAGAGTCCGTTCACACTATATATATGTACAGAGTCTGTCGGCGCAGTCTGGCAGTGCACAGCCAGGCTGGGGCTGAGCATGGTGGGGGCAGGATGGCTGGGAAATCCCTCAGGGCTTCACACACTTCCCCTTCTTCTCCCGCCGCTGCAGTTTCCGCAGGCGGCGCGTCCAGGCGTCCCGCCACTGGATGACCAGGCTGTTCTTGTCAGCCATCAGTCCAGGCCTGTCAGTGGAGTTTTCACTGATTCCCATGACCAAGTACTTCTTGCTGATCTGGATCCTGGGGCACTTGCAGGACAGGTCTTTCAGGTGGATCCATAAAAAGTTGTCACCACGCTTGACCCGTTCGTCACGGCACTTGTAGACAGAAAGGATGTTGATGGTGAACTTGGCCCAGTTGGCCACCGTCTCCATTTCTAGGATGTTCACCTGGACCACTGAGGGAAAAACAGGGGACACACGGTGATGGGGGATGCTTTGCCTTGCTCTCCAAAGGAAGCTTTGGTGATAGGAACTGCCCATCCCCAGCAGCCTCACCTGCCTCATCCATCACAATTTTGGCAGGAACCCTTCTCCATACTGAGTGCACCCTATGTCTGCATGTCCCCCACCCACAGCCAGCCCTTGTCTGCCACTGGGTGAAGCCCAGTGTGGTGCAAGGAGGTTGAAGGTCCTTACCATAGTCCTTCTTGCAGTATTTCTTCATGTTAATCTTGTAGTTGCCCTTGGCTGGCTTGCAGTAGGAGTCACAGTCTGTGGAGGAAGAACAGAGGGTTGAGCACTGAGGGGCTTGAATCACATGAGGACCCATCCCACCCCAGCAGAAAAAGAATCAGGGTGGAGGAGACAGAGGCATGACCCAAGCCCGGCAGATGGTGGTGGGTACGCCACTCCTCCTGAGCCAGAGCCTGGGCACTGCTGGGGTTGGGGGTCTGGTTAGTCCAGTTGCCCCCCTGGCAGCTCACAGGGGCTGGGGGCTCAAAGCCCAGCATGAACACTGACACTACATAAACTGGAAAGAAAAAACAAGTGGCCTTGGGTGCATCAAACAGACTGTGTCACCTATGGTGATGGTGTCTTTCAGGATCATCAGTACAGGGGTGGTGGAGGGAGCCTAGGGACTCTCCTCCCAAGTGCAGAAAGGGATGGATGGGAGGAACACAGGCAGGACTGATGCCAAACCAAGGCAGTCATGATCCTCAGGGCAACTCAGCCCTTGGGCCAGAGTGGTGGGAAGCACCTCATGGGGCAGCCCCTCCAGAAACCTGTGCCTCACCAGTGTTTCCATAAGCAGGGAAGGAGACCCAGGCTGGGGGAGGTAGAGAGGTGAGGGAAGTGGCTCTGCTCCACCAGGCCACTCCTGCTGCCCAGGCATCCCCTGCTCAGGCTGCTCCAGAAGGGCTGGGAAGGCCACCAGGCTGTCCTCCACCCCACACACATCCCTCCCTGCTGTCCCCCAAGGCTCCTGTCCTCCAGGAGGCTTTTTTCTGTGCATTTCTAAAGCCTCCAGATTTGCATCTCAAGCAAAGGGAGGGCAGGCAATGCCTCTTTCCTTCTCCCCAAAGGCTTTGATCCCAACAATTGCCCGAAGCAGCCCTGTTCTCCTCCTTTCTTTCCCCTGCCATCTTCCTTTGAACATCTCAATTTGTCTCTTTCCAAATGGCATGTTTTTTCTAAGCCCATCTTTCTTCTTTTCTCTCCCTTTTGCAGGTTCTCCCTCTGGCTTGGCCCCACGTCCAGGGCCGGAGCCAGCAGTCTCTGAAGTTGTCTTTGTTTGCAGGTTGCCACAGCGATCACTGGGGATGGAGACGAGGGTCTGGGGGAAGACTGGGAGTAACAGCACCCTGTGCCAAGGGGAGGAGGAGAAAAGAGGAGAGAAAGAAGCCCGGGAGCACAAACTCGCCCTGGGCTCTGATGCTCTCCTCTCTGCCCAGTTCCTTTTTATCTGGGACTTTGTGCCGCCTGTTCCAAATTTGTCAATGATAGAAGTGGCACAGCACGAAACTAATTCTTGGCAGAGTGGAGTGAGCCCTGATTCACGGTTCAGCCCCACTGTGCTGTCACACTGCCCCTCTGCCTGGGCTGGCACAGCTGCCCCAGCTCTGCTGCATCCCCTGGGACAGCAGTGGTGGCTGCAGAGGGATGTAGGATCCCCTGGGACAGCAGTGGTGGCTGTAGAGGGGGCACAGGACCTCCCCATGTGGGATGACTGCTGAGTGTACTGGAATGCTCAGTGGTGGCACTGAAGGTGCCTCCATCCACTGCATCCATGGGATGTGGCACAGCCTCAGCTTGGACAGTGCTGTATCCCCTGGGATATGCTATGGCCTCAGCCTGGAGCCTGTTGCATCCCCTGAGACATGCTACAGCCCCATCTCAGACACATCCTTGGGATGTGCTACAGGCTGAACTTGAACACTGCTGCATCCCCCAGTATATGCTACAGCCCTGTCCCTGACACTGTTGTACCCATGGGCTACACTATTATCCCTTTCCTGACACTGACAGATCCCTGGTATGAGCTACAACCCTGTCCTAGACACTGATACATCCCTGGGCTATGCTACAGCCCCAACCCTGACACTGATGCATCCCTGGAAGATGCTACAGGGGCAGAGCAGGAGGAGGCAACTGGAGCCACAGGCCTGGTGTGGGCATCCACATCTCTGCAGGGGGAGTGTGTGTGAGAGGCAGCGAGTTTGCACATCTGGTTTACTTCTCCTCTCCTTGAAAAAAATAAAAGAATATTTTGTTTTAAGAGAGATGTAACTTAATTAGGTGTTATGGCTGCAAATCTTTTACTGCTGAGTTTGAATTCCTTTAAAGCCCTGTTTTGCGCTCCATGAGTTTTGTTAATTCTGCTAAAGGGGAACACGGATTTTTTTTTCCACTAAGTGGAAAATATTTTAAGATAATAATAATAAAAATTATGAGAAGTGGACCCAAGACGTTTCACCACCGAGCCAGTCAGCTGCTCAGGCACAGAGATCAAAGCTGGACCTCAAAGGCTCTGGAAGACTGTGAATGCAGGAGAAAGCTGGGAAGAGTGATGCAGAGGATGGCAATGTCAGTGAAAAGCCTGGACACACCCGGGGGACAGGACCTCAGCAGGGAGGAGGATGGGGAGAGGGGGGGAAGCCCAGCACCTGAGCACAGCAGCCCTGAACAATGTCCCCCTGTTCCTGCAGTGAGCACCTGCTGCCAGAGGCAGGGCAGGAGGTGGGAAAATGAGGGGAGAAGGGGCTCAGAGGCTGCCTGGGGTAGGAGGACTGAGGGGTGTTGAGGGCCCCTTGAGGAGTGCTCTTCTCAAGGGGAGCTGGGGGCTCTTGGGGCAGAGGGATGCAGGCAGATGGGCTCAGGGTGCAGGCAGCAGGGCAGGGGAAAGGGTGCAGGGAGCAGGGCAGGCAGTGGAACAGGGTGTTGGCAGCAGGGCAGGATGCTGACAGCAGGCAGGGTGCCAGGAGTGGAGCAGGGTGCTGGCAGCAGAGCAGGGTGCACCACTGTGGCTAGCCCTGCCTGCAGCACAAGCACACTGGAGAGGGATAAACCAGGCAGTGATGGGCAAGACAGCATCAGCCCCCATCTCTGATCTCCCCAGTGAAGTGGGCAACAGGACCCCTACCAGGTCCCCTGCTCCCCTGGTGGTGCAGGCTCTGGGCAGAGGCAGCTACTTTGCATTAAAGATATTCGAGCTAGAAGCCAGAAATCTTAAACCAACAAACCCACAGATAAACTGGAGGCCGAGCTGCTCTGCTAAAACAAAGCAAACACCTGGCTCTCCACCAGTGCCGTTTATTTTTGCACAGCTGAACAGCTCAGACATCACTGTAAGACCGTTGCTATTTATGAAGTTCTGGAAGGGAGTCACCTTGATTAACTCTGCTCCACGTGGCACTCTGCTGGCAATAAAAACATCCAAATTCCCCTTTCCCTCCCTCCATTTTTTAACTTTTCCCAAAGCCTGGTGTTCCCAGTTCCCTCCTCACAGTGAGCAGAGGTGGTGGTGGTCTGCCCTGTCCCATACAGACCCAAAAAAGATTTCAAATCTCAGTTGCATCTTTCACCAAAATTGTTCATCATTAATCTGTTTGTCATATATTTTGGTGGAGCTCAGCCCTTCCCCACAATGTGCCAGGGAGAGAGGAGGTAGTGTGGGCCCTCAGGTCTCTAGGCAGAGGACAAGGAACACTTACCTGCAGGTGCCTCTGTGCTGGTGATCAGGGAGGTGGGGTTGATGGCAGGGATCTCTGGAAAAGAAAGGGAGAGGTGTCTTAAGGAAAGAAGTCCCCACCTCTGGGGGTGACAGCTTGGCAAAAGTCCTGTGAAAATGGGCTACAAGGGGATTTTGTGAGTCACAAATCAAAGATGATAGGATGATCCTGACCTGAATATCACAAGCCATCAAATAGACCTGGAGATGCCCAAACTGAGCTCAGTATATTGGGACAGGCTGAGAGGCTGCAACTGCCAAGAGCCCTAAGTGGCTGTGTGGAGGATGAGTGTGCCAAGGAGAGATGCTCCCCAGATGCTCAGCTCATCTGAACTCAGTCTGCACATCAGATGGATGCTTGGCTGATCTCAGCATGTTCCAGGCTGCCCAGCACAGGCATAAGTGTGGGCAAAGACAACACTTTCTCAGGACTCTTGGCAACAAAACCTGGGGGAAATTCTCTCCTATCCTCAAATCTGGGGCAGAACAGAGAGAGGAGGCAGCTCCACCAGCTCACCCACACTGCCACCGCTTCAGCAGCGCCAGCGAATGCTGCAGGGCGGGAAACTGTTCCTCTGCCACTTGGGTCAAATTCAAACCCACTGTGACAATAAACACGGTTTTACACTGACCACAGGCTCTGGCCTTGCCCCAGACATGACCGCACTCAGGGCTCAGCAGGGTGAGGAAGGCACTTGCTGCAGCCAAGGATGGGACCCAGCAGAGCTGTTTCAGCCAGCTGGAAGCACTGACTCAAGGGCTCTTCCAGAGCTTCCTGTGCTGGGGAGTGTGAAGCACAGGTCACCCCAGAAAGTGACCCAACTGCCCTACTCGACCTCCTCCTGAAGAGCATCCATAAGGATGGACATCCTCTTGTCAGAGCCTTCCACCCACCACACATCACCCAACATGAGTGGAGGACCAAGCGTCACCCATTGGAAAACGCCCAAGGAGAGCATCCCCTGGTGCCAGTGTGGTCCCTGAGCACAGGGCAGGGCATGGGGCACTCACTGATGCAGGGAGCCACCGGCGAGCGGCTCTGCTGGTAGCCCTTGGCACAGCGGTTGCAGGTGAGGCCAGTCACACCATCCTTGCATGGGCACTGTCCTGTGGTTTGGTTGCAGGTCTTGCCGGCTGCGCCGACTGGGTGGCAGTCACAAGCTGGGTGGAAGAGAGAGAAAAGGTGACATGAGAGGGGACGCACAACACAAACCTTAAATTGGACCCAATGTGATATACCTAGAGAAGTGGGGAGGAGGGGGACCCTTCAGTGCACCACTGGAGAGCAGCTGCTGGGATGGGCACAACCAAGACCCACGTGGACCCGTGGATCTGGACCAACCATGGCCCTGCACATGCTGTGAGCTGCATGGGTAGGAACGAAAACCAACAAAGGGGTTGGCCAGGGTATAGCCTTGCTGACAGGGATGCTCAGATTGAGCCCTTGGAGACCCTGCAACTCCTGCTGGTGTCTGCAGCCATCAGCTCTCATTTAAGTCCTTCCTGCACCTCAGTCCCAGGGAGATGTTCCTGTCACAGCTGTAAAAGCCATTTTCTCCTCTTGCTCCTCTGAGCTTTTCAGTCCGTGGAGCTGAACCAACACGGAGCTTTTACACAAACTCTGGCCTTGTCTTGGTGCCTCCCTGCCACAGCCTCTCCATGGACCAGAGGTGGATTAAAGTTAGGTCTTCACCCTCAGCAGAGCCCTAAAGTGGCTCCCCATCACACCACACTGGATGATGGACACACTGAAGGCTGTCTACGTGGAGAGATGTGGGAAGGAGATGCTTGCTCAGGAGAAGACCTTCCCATTTCCCTGCCTGGGCTGGCTATGAGCTGGAGGAGGTTATCTCGGCCTCCATCAGTGTAAGAGTTGAACGTGATTCCAAAGCAAAACAAAAACATCTCCCCCCACCCGCCCCCGCAGCCCCCTGATGTTATCGTTTCCCTAATTTTCACCAGATGGGACTGGTGGGAGCACCATGGTGCTGCTCCTCAGCCCCCCTCCCTCACAGCCAGAAACCAGAGTGAGCAGCCTCTAATGGGGACCAGATGCTCCATCCTTATCAGATCTTGGCTGGGACTGGAAGCGGACGTCTTTCTGACAGGGATATTTTGGGGGCTCAGCTGTGATAACAAATGGCAGCGAGCGAGGGAGTCTTGGCATGATGCGAGGCCGTTGGAAACACGGGGGCTTTCTTGGGCCCCAGTGGTGTGTTCCTGGTGTAAAGTTTATGGACAGACATAAATCTCAGCCCAATCAGGATCCACTTCATCTAAGCCGATGTCTCTCCATGTGGTGGAAGGCAGATTTCAGTGGTTCTTGATGTTTCATCTGGATCAGCAATTAAGACAGCTTTGCTCGTCTTAAGTCTGTAACAGATCAGTGTCATTGGGGGATGAGCTTGGTCTCTGCCAGACCAATCTCTGCTCCCTTGCCCTGCCACAGTGGGATTTCCCAGTCCCACAAAACCCCATTACTCCTTCCTGCTGCTATGAGAAGAGCATCCCAGGCAGCAGTGCTTACCCCGATGGGTCTCATATCCCAGCACGGCCCATCCCACTGCTCTGGCTGTAACATCTCCATCCCTCCTCATCCTGACATGACCCAGGGACCCCATCCCAGCCCCAGGGAAGGCACAGGCATCAGGGGCACAGCACAGCTCCACATTGCTGCCCACACAGCGAGCCCTGCTGCTCCCAGCCCTCCACTGCCAGGATCTGGCCCATGGAGCTTGAATGGTGGATTAAGTCACTAGCTTGGAGCTTAACTCATAGAGCCGTGCTTGCCAGAAAGCATGTCTTGCACCTCATATTGAGGGTATTTTTGCATCTTGAGGCTTAGCTGCTACTGCTTCACCAGTTTTCATTGGAGAAAGCTCACAGTTTACAGCTTTGTTTAAATTACTGGGATTAATGCACAGCCATTCTTTATTTGACTTTTCAATTACTGCCATTGAATTAATCCTGTAGGTTGTTCTGCCTTTTCCATCCTCCCAGCTTTTCCGTCTCGCAGCATCCAGCAGTGACGCCGGCTGCTGGCAGGAGGGAAGGGCTCCCCTCCCTGCTTGCTGGTGGCCGAGGGCTCTGCTCAGTTATAGACACAGCCTTGGGCAACCTGCAGTTGTTTTTCGTGCCTATTTCAAAGCCATTGCATCCCAGCAGAGATGAACCGCAGCTGGAGAGTGATTTAGTAACATGTGCTGGAGTTTGTTTAAATAAAATAGAATAGTTCCTGGCCTCTGGGCTAGTGATTTGCCTCCTGAATATCAACTGAGCATCTGCAACATGGTCTTGTTGGAAGGTGTCCCTGCCCATGGCAGGGGGGTGGAAGTAGATGTTTTTAAAGGTTCCTTCCAACCCAAACCAGCCTGTGATTCTATGAGAATCTGTCTCTGCTGTGCTGCTCAGTGTCTGCCCTGGGCCAGTGCTGTGGTAGATGCAAACACCTTCATTCAAAGCTGTAGCCCATCGTTCCCAGCAGCCCGCTCCACACCTGCTTCAAACATCCACTGTCAGGATTCTTGCTTTTCCCTTTTTTTTTCCCTTGCACGACTGTAGATACCTGAGCTGCAGGTACAGGACACATCTTTGGAATCACCAAGCCCAAACTATCTAGTCACATTTCTGTATGTTTATGTATCTCTCTGGCAACACCAGTTCTCCATTCCCAGCACCTGGGACCCTGTTCCTGCTTCAAGGAGCTTCCAATTCCAACGGATCCACCACTGGATAAGTACAAGGAAGGAGTGGAAATGCTCTCTGGTTTACCAAAGGAGGGGCAGCCAAAGGAGCAGAAGCATCAGGGATTTTATTATTAACTCGGTTCCCTGAGGCAGAGCCAGGAACTGGCTCCCCAGACCCAGGGTACTGCCTTCACTGCCAGATCCTCCTCAACATATGCACCGTGGCGGGGGTTGGCCCTGTGCACATGTTCATCTGGCTCAGCTGAGCCTTTGCAGCACTTCCAAACCATGGGCAAACCCTGCCAGCCCTCCGGAAGCAGCACCCCCCAGCCCTGGCTGGCAGAGATGTGCCCGTGGCTTGGCACAGGGATGGAGGTTTGTCTGTGAGGGGGGACCTGCTGCAGCACCCCACTCCTCCTCTCCTCTGCAGCCTGGGCATTGCTCACTGCATTTCTCCTGCACTGCAGCATCTGCCCTCACCTCATCCCATCAACTCCTGGGCATCCTGGGATGCTTTGCTCTCCCTGGCCCCTCCAGAGGAGCCACTTTGGATCTGAGATGCTTTTCTTCACTGTAATGGTGGAGCAGGACTCACACTGACAGACAGTGGGTGCAGGCAGATGGAAGCAGCCAGGGCCCCTTTGTTTTCTCCATCCTCAGCCCTGCAAGTAGAGGGACCCAAGCCACAGCTGGGCAGGAAATGCTGTGCCTGCAGTGTTCCCAGTCCCTCAAACCCATGTTGTATTCATAAACCATCCTCCCTGCTTCCAGCCCCTGGCTAAATCCTGCTTGCTTTATTTATTATTAATTTTTGGTAACTGCTCTGCTCCCTTCCTGGAGCAGAAACTGAGCCCTCAGTGCTCAGCACAGAGGCAGCACTGGAGGCCCCAGGTCCCCCAGGGAGGAAAATACCTGCAGGGCTTCAAATTTGCTTAGAATTTTATCAGACAGTTTTGGAGTAAAAGTAGAAGGAGCTAGTCATAGAATCACAGAATATCCTGAGCTGGAAAGGACCCACAAGGATCACCAGGTCAACTCCTGGCCCTGCACAGAACACCCCAACAATCCACCCTGTGCCTGAGAGCATTGTCCAAATGCTCCTTGAGCTCTGTCAGGCTTGGAGCTGTGACCACTACCCTGGGAGGCTGTTCCAGTGGCCAAACACCCTTTGGGGGAAGAACCTTTTCTTAATGTAAACCTCCTTAACCCAAAGATTCCCACCCTTTGGGAGGGGTGGGAAGTGAGGTGCTGCCCCCAGAACATGCAGGGTGAGGTGGAGGTGGAATTCCCAGCCATGGCTGACCTCCTTTCCCACTCTGATGTTCCAGTCTGGATCTGCCAGTCCCTGAGGACAAGCAAGGTGTTTTCTTATCTCTAATCCTTTGGTGAAACTATTGTTTTGAAAAAGGCTGTGCAGCTGTCCTAAGCAGAGAGAGGGAAGAGGAACCAGGCAGGCTTGGCCAAGAGTTAGAGGAGAGATGCAGGTCCCATGATGTTTGGCAAAGGCTGGGGACCTTGCAAGGTCAAGCTGCAGCTTGATGGCCTGGAGCCAGCATGGCTCCTGGCCAGCTACCAGAAGCCACAGTGCTCCATATCCACCACAAAACAGGTCCCAAGAACCACTCCATCGCTGAAACTCATACTGTGGGATACTTTCCCTAAGTCCAGCAGGGAGATGGAACTTCCACCTGCATCACCAGCCCTCTAAGGCAGGGAATCCACACTCCAAACATGTCTATATCTCTGACAACCTCAGTATCAGAGCCAGGTTTCCAGCACATTTAGCCACATGCCTGCTTCAGCACCTGCCCAGCATCTCTCCAAACACCAGCCATGGAAATGGTAACTGCCACCACACCAGGACCCTCCTGGCATGAATGGGCTCCTGGCAGACTGCTTGCTCCCTGCCTGTCATCCTCCCCATCCCTTGAGGAGATGCTGAGCTCAAAGCATATCCCTGCCTGATGCCTATGGAGTGGCAGAGCTGATCAGGGGGTGGAGGCTGGAGGTAACTGGCCCCTGCCAGAGTGAGCAGTCAGACTCTGAGCAGAGGGTTGTCCCAAGGATGGGAAGGGACAGCAAGGAGACCAAGAATGATTCTCTCACCCATGGAGACCCCCCAGCTTACCCTTGCAGGCCTTGCGGTCGGTGATGGACTTGCTGAGGTCCCTGTAGAAACCCTCCCTGCAGTAGTGGCAGTGCCTCCCCGCGGTGTTGTGCCGGCAGTTGAGACAGACACCACCACTTTTCCGGCCCGAGAGCTTGTACAGCTCCATGTTGAAGCGGCAGCGTCGGGCGTGCAGGTTGCAGTTGCAGGCTGCAAAGGGAAGGAGAGACGGTGAGGGCTGGAGGTGAAACCCAGGACCCCCTGGGTGGGCTAGAGCTGCCCTGGTACCCTTCGCTGCTGCTGGGGGCTGTGCTGGGGAGTGGGATGGGCACAGCACAGCTGGTCCCAACGTGCTGTTCAGATGTGCAGCATCCACCACCCCACAGGGTTGGTGCTGGGAGGTCAGGGCAAAGGAGAAAGGGCATGTGTAAGGATGGGGTGCCACTTGGCTGAAGACAGGCAAGTGTGGGATGGAGGGGTGCAGCCAGGGGGGTCAGCAACAGCAGCTGGGCACCTGCAGCTCCACTGTTCCCCCCCCTTTCCCTGGCAGCTGGCTCTGGTGAGAGAGCCCACCCAGCCTTCTGCAGGACCACCCACCTCATGCCAAGGAGGCAACGCTCCTGCCACTTTGCAGGGCACCACCCTTGACAGCTGAGCCCCCAAATTCTATACATTTAAGGCTCTACCCTGCG